CAGTGTCATAAAGTTATTTACGACCTGAAACATAGTATTTTATTATAATTATTGTAATAAACAAAATTAAGTAAAACTATATATTGCAATTATGTGAATTGTTCTAAGTTTTATCAGACTACGGCTTGAAAAGAGCTGTAAACCTTTATTACCGTCAAAAATAGGAAACTACCATTATATTTTCGACCTCTAATTATAATTCGTACCATAAGTAATATTATGTAAATTGCACTTATGGGCGACGTTTGGCGCAATGTGGTATCTGGTAACCAACTTCGAGACCATATCTGCCGTCCACAAACTAAAAGTGACAAATGGGCAAATAACCGTTTCAAATAGAAAAAGATAGAGCAGAAAATTCTCTTTTAAAAACATTTATAATTAGGCAACGACTTATCGGAACTTACCCTAACGATGCATATTGTTTAATGATGTTTCAGCAACATCATTAAACAATTTAATTAGTCCAAAACTGGGTTACGGTTTTTTTATGATATTTTTTTTATCTCAAAAAACTATTATTATAAGGGCAGACATATGACACCCTTCGGCTAAAACTGCTCCATCATGAAAGTCGAGTTATGGCTGAATTAATTATTGTTGTGTACAATTTTATAACTTTTCTGTTTATTCATAAAAGTTATCGACTTATTTTGTTTGTACAATCATAAATCCGCTTTAAAAAAATTGTCAATTTGCAGATATGGTCTTATTCATAACAACACATTATACGAGTATATTCAGAACCTTAGAATAATAACGCATAGAATGATAGTTTCATATCAAACGAACTGTCACAAGTGAGGCAAAAACCAAATTCATGTAGGCGTAAGCAACTTGTAACTACGCTCGTCGGCACGCACACAAATATACAAATAATGATGCCATGGAATAACATTTCCCTCAAAAATGGGGAAATTGTATCTTGCTTAACTCATCATTAAGTTAAAGGTGCCTACAGATTTGCCCGACATTGTCGATCAGGTGCCTACAGATGTGCTCGATTTTGTCGATCGTTACTGTCGATCGACAATGTCGATCAGGTGCCTACAGATATGCTCGGTTTTGTCGATGAAAAACGAATATAGCACTTATTTGTAAATCCAAGATGGCGGACACGATTTTTCAAAATATGCTATATGGGTATCCTTTTCGAGGTATTTGGGGATGCTCATTACG